CCTATATAATTATGAAACAAGTAATTCATTTTACATAACAAGTAAATAATGATTTGTTCAAACAGTTTTCACAATCTTGTATGGAAAACACAATTAAAATAATTTAAATTATTATGGAATGTTTAAAATAAATCTATATTAGTATATTTCCTATACAATATATGTTGTGGATGACTGGATGAAGATATAGCATCTAAAATTGAAATTTATGTCAAAAACCATTAAAATGATATTTTAGACTGAATTAGATTTAGATTGTGCTGTTTTAATCTGCATAAAAGATTTTCCATTTAAGTAGATTTGCATGGACACAGTTTTATAAACAAAATTTATTCTAAAATACTTGTTCCAAATCAGTACATTTTAACACAAATTCTTTAATATAATACCAAATACAGATAAATACAGTTCTTTATTCACAATTAGAAATTTACTCCGAAAAAAATATAAATAATACCAAGTCCAAAGTGTATACATTATATGGGTCACAGGATCCAAAATAACAGCCTACATTTTATCAAATTAACATATTACGACACACAGATTACACCAGCAACTGTACCAAAACCGTAATGCAGCCATACAACAACAGCAATATAAAGGTTTATCGTTCGACATACACACAAAAACCGTCAAAGTTCGGGGCTAAAGAGCGAACGTTAAAGAATCTAGTGCATCGTAAGCAATAATGCATCCTATCGAACCATCAGATCCCAAGTATATCATGATAATTATACTTACTCATTTCTGTAAAATTTCAATTGGCAATTAAGATATTAAACTTAATTGCCATTTACTCATGCTTAAGGGCCGTCCACAAATGACATCCACACTGGGAGGGAAGGATTACGACAAAGTCGGACCAGGGGAGAGGTTAAACGTCAACGGACGTCCGTTTTATTTCATTAAATTTTACACAGTTTATGCATTTTATTATTCATAAGTGATAAAGATTTAAAAGGGGGTTGAATTTTGATGTTCGAAGGAGGTTACGGAAACTCGGACATCCCCTTATTATTATGAAAACAATTATATTATACAGCTTAATGACATGAAAAATTATTATTATTATATTTAAAATAAATATTATAAACAAACATGTAACAATCCAGATTCTATTTATAAACATAGTTTGACGTACAGAAATCATCCACTTCTCATTTACTTAATTGTTTTTATTTTAAATTATATTTAAAAAGTAAATTTCAATTAAAATGCCATAAAATAGTGTCAATTTCTCCAGCAAATGAATGTTTTCAACAAAAATAAAAAAAAAAGAAAGAAAGAAATTACTAAATAAGGATAATACTTGTATCAATTGTCTCACTTACCTTTCAAACTGCTTTCCATTTTGTTCACGATCGATAACCAACTTTCAAATAGAATATCAAAACGATTTCATATATTTATTCGCTTGTAAAAGTTTGTCTTCACATCTTCCTTTTCTTCGTTAAAAACAATAATTACTTCCTTTCAAATTCCCCCTAGTGGCATAAAACAAATATTAAGTAAATTTTATAAATTCTAGATAATTTTAATCACTTATTTTAAAAATGGTTTTAATTTATTTAGTACTGAATTATTTTTAAATAAAATAAATTTAATATAAACACGTTTATTTTTTTATAATTTCAAATTTTAAACTTGTAGTATTCGCTCTGACACCCATAGTTGCCAGATTGGGCTACAAGGAGCGGATTGGGTTACTTTTTAAGTGCCCTCGCTACAAGAATTTTAAATTGGGCGACACGCTACTTTTTGGGCTAGTGATAATTATCTTCAGGCTACAAATCTTAAAAATACGCTACTTTTTTATTTTTGTATATAAAATCGCAAAACATTTATTGTATTATACAAAACTAATAAAGTTTTATTTANGACAACAGTTGTAAGAAATCGCTTTAAAATTATCATTCATATTACTAAAAAAAACAAAAATAAATTTTATAACTAAAATTATCTATGGGGGGACATGATGATTTTAGAAATGTTAAAGTGGGGCATGGCCTAAAAAAGTTTGGGAAACACTGATTTAGACAGACTTAGGCCTTAATATTAAAATAATAAACGCTTTATAAAAATTTCTTTATACACTATATTCCGAGTAAACACTCTATTGTCTTTTAAAAGATTTTCTCACTTGTCTTCCTTTATTAATAGACACTTTAATATTGTTTTGATGATTGAAGTTTCTGCAGCCCTACAGTCATTATCAATCTATTTTGCTCAAGTCAAGCTTGACATTATGATGCTGTTTCTGAAGTCCTTGACAAAGTCATTCTTACTCAATGTTGTTCAAGTTGAACTTCACAGCTTTCAGGATCTCAGTTGTTCTTATTCTTTTAAATCAGGGGTTGCAAACTGGTGGCCTGCAGGCCTGATACAGCCCATTACCATTAAGGCTTCATATCTGGCCTGTGGCCTTGATAATTTCTTTTTTAAAAATTAATGTTTCTAACATCTTTTGGGTATAAAAACAATAAAAAATTATACTTCAGAAGTTAATTTAGTATCAAAAACGTAAAATATTTGAGTAGCCCAAGATATAGCCAAAGATTGCAGCGCCACAGCACTAGCGAAAATTTAAATTTGCCCACTGGAATTCTTTCGGATAATCGATGCTCTACTGTATATGTATATTACCAACTTATTTCATTAGTAAAAGTGCATAGTTGCAAAATAATTCATTTTTATTGTTTGGGCTACAAACAGTTCAAATCCGCTACTTTTGGAGCACAACCACGCCAAGGTCTTATAATCTAAGACCTTGCAACCACGCTACTTTACATCTTTAGATCTGGCAACGCTGCTGACACCTAGCGGTATTAGCGCAAACTGCGTAGTGGCGGCTGCTATGGGTATAAAGTCTGTTGTCTGTTAGAATTAGGAAGTGTTCAACCTACAGTGGTAAATAATAAGTATTATTGTGAATTTGGATGTAAGTCTAAAGGTTTCCCAAAAAATAATTTAACTTTAAAATAAATTGAAAGAAGTGTGTATATTAAATAAATAAAAAGTAAATAAATGTTAACTAAACTGTGATTGGTTAAAATTAACTGTCTTTTGCTAAGTGGACTTATCGAATGTCCCGTGTATCGCTCTCGTTGAGTTATCGGAAGAGTTCAGAATAGGTCCCCTGGTATCGTTACGTTTTTCACAGACAGGTAAGATCCTCCCGTAACCGGATTTTGTAGCCAAATCAGAAATCGAAATGCAATTTTACATTATTTTCGATTAAATTAAACTTATATAAAAATATTAATGACCGAAAATCAATAAATGCATTACGTAAAATTTCATTTTCAGAATCTACATGTGCATAGATTATTATTTATACATGTAGATAAATATATAGTTTAACACAAAATTATTGCATAATGTTTATCAACTTGGACCACCAATGATGTTTAAAATAAGCTACAATTTGTATATACTGTAGTTGTTTACACTGACAATTGTAAAATTTGAACACAATATAGAACTTTCAATGTAAAGACATTGTTTTACCTCTTCACTAATGATTTCTTATTCATTCCTATCTCTAGTAGTACTCACAGAGATCATTAACAGGACTGTTTATATGGGGTTTCTTTTCTGTACAGTACAGTACATAAGACATCTTACGAGTGTAAACGAAGTACTGACTGACGCACTGACTTCTGATCTAGATAGCCGGAATTCTGCAGCAATTTCCTGGAGTAAGCAACAAAATATTAATTGTCGCTCTTGAACCCACTCAGCCTTTATTGTAATGAGTACAGTACAGTACAGTACAGTACAGTGCCTTCTCAGCAGTAAAAACAGCTGGAAGACTATGCGACAGACTGAACAGCGACAACCAGCATAATTTTCAGTTTCGATACCTGATGCCGATACTGGCCGGTATCGATACTTTAAAAGGGACATCCCTAGTCCTGGATATGTCAGCCCCCTCTCTCATCATCCGGCTACCTTGTTGTGGGCCTGTCTGAACCCATGATGGGCATACAAGGCCAACAAAACTTAAACTTTGTTATGGGGGTTCAGGGAATGGAATGGATCTGTTTTGCTCCTTATAAGCACTCTTTTTTCTTTTTCTTTTTTTTTTTTTTCTTTTTTGAACAAATGAAATACGTAGAATGTTTAGTTATTAACGAACAAGCGGATAAACTTGCTAAGAGTCATCCTCATAACTCTACCATAACTCAGCTTATCACCTCCGAAGACCTCATCAGTCCCATACATGCTGACAACAGAAAACACATGAATCGTAAATGGGAGAATTATCCAAAACACGCTCAATTTCTTTGGTTCGCTAACCTTTCCGGTATCACCGAAACAAAAGACAGTTCGTTAACACGATCCTTATCAGTCGCGCTAGAACTATCTCCCTATTAACTGATCATTTCCTACATTAATTTAAACTCAGCATCACGGACCTCCGTAAATACTGTCCAAATCAACAAGACACTACCATCCACCGCCTCGACGATTGCACAAAATTTGACAATATAGAAAGAAAAATCTTATCCAACAACAGCCTTACAAGTAACCACTTTTACAAAATTAGTGAGTGACTGAAATTAACCCCTACAGACATATCTGATTACATGTTTCAATGAATACAAATAATATACACCTACTAATCACGTCATACAATAGTTTCTCCACACTTCACTACGGGGCGCCATAGCAGTTCTCTCCCAAAGTGAAGACAAGACACATTAAGAACATGTAAGATATAGTATTTAGTGTATAGTGTGAGAGCAGCGAGCAAGATAAAAACGCACAATCCAAATTAGATGAATGAGACACAATAAAGTTTTATTTACTCGCTTTTTAGGATACAGGTTCTCAGGATACCACTATGCTAACCCACGGATACTCCACATAAATTTTCAACCCGACAAAGATTGCACGCGCGTCGTTCCTTATCCGCTCACTTAAAACTATCTTAATTAATACTATAATTCTATTACTACTTAAACTTAATATATATATATAGCCGGCTTACTCGAAGATTTATAAGATGAAAGTAAAGAATAAGGAAAGAGGGTACCCAAAACTTGATGGATGCGGTTTCTCAATGATCGGGGGACTGGTAAGCTCCGTTTCTTGTTTCACGTAGAGATGTTAATCCAAAGGGATGATCCTTCTGGCTCCCTTCGGTTGAGTTCCTTTTCCTTATACGTTCCACGGGTCTCTTTTTCACAATACGATGCAAAACCTTCCGGGGAGACGTCTTATCGCTCTCCACGTTCCAAAGTTCTCTCCCTTTCACCCTCACACGCTAAACTTGCCGGGGAGACTTCTCTTTTCGCTCTCCACCTCCCGTTCCTTCCTACCCCGTCTCCTCCCTTTTCTCCCTCTCCCGTTCTCCCCTCCGAGTCTCTCGATCGCTCCCTCCCCTCCGAGCTACATTTCTTTCGTTGCTTCTCGGGTTAGCCCAACCGCATACCCAAGTCAAGGAAAAGAAAAACGAGAACATTCCAGGAAGAGTAAACAAATAGGACAGACAGAGGTGAAGCGGGAAATATACAAGAAAAAATGACACAATTATATACGAAATATATGATTAAATATGGCATGTAGCCACAATAGTAAATTGTAAAAAAACTTGTTCTACTTGCATTCGGCATTTTAAATTTATTTGTAAATTTCCCACTATATTTCGTTGAAATCTCCAATTGTTTTATTTTTGAACTACGTGTTGGTAGATAATACTTACAATTTTTCTCTTTTCAAACATTTCTTCATTACTCATCTTTAATCATCTCTAATGATGAGGATTAATCCTTCTCCCCATACCCCCACCACTATTCTAACTCTCTTTACTCACAGGGTAAATAATTATCTTGTTTTTATTAACTGTTTTTAAATGTTCGTATAGCTCATGTTTATTTCAATGTTTAATATTAAATGTGTTTCGGGTCTTTATTTACAATTTTGGTGACGTTTTTTACGGCCAGAAACATGCCGCAGGAATATAAAGTTTGTTTATGTCAATTAGCTATAGTAATATTGGTTTTATTATACGTCATCGCTCATAACATCGCAGTTTCCACAAACCTATCGACAACATTAAGTGAGAACTTATCGTATTTAATTGGTTTTAATTCGTTACTTCCTCAATTTTAGTAGATATACAATTATTGTAACTATATATTTCTCACTTATTCAATATTTCAATTTAAAAAATATGTCTCCATTATTAACAATTTCTTTAAATTAAATACTTAAATTTTGGAATTAACTCGCAGAAAATCGAATTATTTCATAAAACCTATACATTTAAAATACAGTGGAACAGAAAAATGAAAGGTTCAATATGGGCTTTTTTGCAAAATGAAGAAATTCTTGTTGTATAAAATATAATAGAATTTGTACATAGAGCAATTTTGATTGTAATTCTAACGATCAATAACAAAGAATACATATATCAGAAAAACATTCGGCAAAACTAATTACATTTTTGAATTGAAATTGCCAAATAATGGGAAAAATTATAGGTTTCATAGGCATCACTCTCCAAACAATGATGGCCGGATGGTCGAGCGGTCAAGGTGGCAACCTACCGCTCTGAGGATCTGTTATCGAATTCGGACGGGTTGAAAAATCCCCAGGAATTTTTTGGGGATAGTCCGTCCGGATATATATATATAAAGGACTTCCAAAAATAGTTACTAGATTTTTTCTACCAAAATATCGACGATTTTGTTAACAACCACAGTATTACGTTGTCAACACATTGCATTTGATGTAGTTTTCGTTTTTCGTCTTTTTTCGTGCTAATGAATTTTTTTACATAACAAAAATGGCATTCAAGAAGTTTCTTTTAAGTTGATTTTTTATTGAATTATAAATTTGTTAATAATACTTTTAAAAAATATCATATCATTTTTAATATACTTTGAATAATTCACAAAAAAATAAAAAATTCGTAATGAAAAAATGGAGATTTTTAAAACAATCAAATTGCCCAAAGAGAATGTAGAATGTAATTGTATTCATAATGTTCAGTCAATTTAATAAATTACTCAATATTTATCAGGCTCCGCGGCCATTTATTCATTATTCATAATGGACCAAGTAATTAATAGGGCATAAATAATTACTTGGTCCTTAACCTATATATGTCAGAATAATATGATCTATCTCGAAAGTGTGTCAGTGTATCTAATTAGCTAATGTTTTAGCGTTTCCAACTGGTTCCTTCGCGAATTGTTTGGGAGTGATCCGTCTCAAATTCGTTGGATTTTGTTTCACCATCCGGCTGGCCGTATTCTGGGCCTGGCCAAACCCATGATAGGTATGGGACAAGTCAGTAACGTATAAATTTTGATACTCGTTACTCAATATTGTTATTCGTCAACCGTTTTAGTAACATTTAATGAATACTTAATTTTTTGTACTTGAATTATTATAATGGTATTCTCTTTTAATCTTAACTTTCCTTTATCTTGCTGAGAAATTTCTAATTACACATTTTTCTATTTACTTTTAATAATTATAATCAAACTAATGTATCAATATTGCTAATGAGAGGACCCTAAAACGCCCCGAAACTACGAAAAATTATAAAAGAATTTTATGTTTTAATTATGTAAGACAGTGATAAAAAGACGTAAAAAAATTACGACCATATAAGGAAATGTTCGATCTAATAACAAAAGAAAAAAGAGTAATTCTCATATTGTAACAATAGAATAATGAAGTCCTAAGATCAACCACCTTCGATTGGGATCGAATTGACAGTCGATTTTGACTCATCCCGCGATCTAGGTTCCAATCTCGTTACATTTAGTAACGAGTGACGACCAATTAGAAAGCGGAGATGAGTAGAAACAACCAATCGGAGTGGTTGATCTGGAACCCAAAAAGTTATAAAAATCAGAATTTCAAGGACACGGAGAGCTTCTCTTTATTGCTTCCTATTGTGTCACACCTTCCTTGGAAGAATTATCTTCATCCTCAACTAAAAATAGGACCAAACATTCCCTCTTGGACTTCCTACAACTATGTCCCGGTGCCGTCGACTCCCAGAAGAACATCGAGGGACTTTCTGACTTTCGCTCTCAGTTAGAAAATGGAATATGAAGATCTATTCTCTGCCGACAGATCGAAAAATATTGTTATTGTAAGCTATATTTTTAAGTTACATAAATTTCTTTCCGATTTATTGTAACTAAAGAGTTGTCTCTGCCCAACGCTCCCAGAACTGCTCGGATATCCTGTTATTACGCGCGGATCGGCAACCTCACATTAATATTGTATTTCGATTTTGAAAGTAGAATGCAGATTAAAAAAAAAAAGAGAGAGAGAGAGAATGGGTGAAACGAAATATATGAATTACAGTGAGAAAGTCTGCAAACGTCTTTAATATAATTTTTTAATGTGTAATATATTAATGTGTATTTTTTTAAATTACACAGTATCAGGTTAACCATTAAGGAATTCGTTCCATCGAAAAGTGCTTTTTTGGTTGTGTTTTATTTGATGGGATAAGGCGATAAAACACAAGATCCACCTGCCAGAGAGGGATGCCATTCTAGGTGAATTTTCTATGGAAAACTGGCCTTATCTAGTTGTTCGACATGTGAAAAAAATTAAGGAAACCCTACACGGCCAACCCGTTAATCCTGCTACTGCAATTTTACAACCCGACCAAGATTCGTAAAACGAACTGTAAATTTTCTACAAAAAATAGAATGTTTGCTGCCGTATTACTTGTTTTCTTTTATCCATAATCATTGCACGAATTCTACTTGGCGATTGGAACAAGTTTCAAATGATTAATAAATTTGACGTATTTCCGCAAACTTTTACGGATCTTGAGCACAGTTTACATAATTTATCTGTATTTATTTATTTATTCATTCATTTTCAGTAAAAAAAAGTCCTATTAACGATTGGATCGAATTCTTAAGTTTTTCATTTGTTCTACTACGATTCGCCGCCGTTACCATTTTATTCTCATCCAATGCTAAATCTACAGTTTCCGAGATACCAATTACCACGCGCTTTTAAATTAACTCGAAAGAATTTTTAAGCAATTTGCCGTTTTAAATTTACAATTGAACACTAATCAAAAAACAGAATTAATCGACCAAAAAAAATTAATCGATTAATCGAGTGTCGAACGATTAATTACGCGTCACCAGAGGTTACTTTTCATTCTATTTAACACGAGTAGAGAAAACATTAAAATATTATTATTTTCCTTTAATGTTATCATTATATAAAATTAATAAATTAAAATTATTTTTATATATGTATTTTTAATTTTAAAAAAAATTCAAAAATTTGAGCAAAAATAAACATCTGTCAGGTGGCGATTGTGATCATCTGAAAGGCAGTTTTAAAATGTGGTTGAATGTTTTGCTGATCGGAATATGTAGTTGTTTCTCTTTAGCAGAAGGTTTTATAGAAGGTTTATATTGTGGTCAACGGGATTGTTACGAAGGTTCGAATCTTTATTTTTACGCTTTTGATGATTAGAATAATTTATTGCCTTATTTCCTATATTACTTAAGGGTTACGAGGATAAAAGTGGAGGATCTCTAATGATTAATTATAATATGAATATCTGATTGCGAAATAATTATAGTTTTCTATATTAAATTATTATTGGTTTGTACTCAAATGTTCATTCATCTCCGTCATTATTTTCCGGTTCGAGAGTAATAAAACCAGCTCCACGTGGTGCTATGGAAAGCAAAACATTGCCTGTTATTTTGGAGATTATTTTTAATCAACAGCTTACGTCTTTCTAGTTATATAATTATTCAAGAAATACTTTATATAAAATATTCATCTTAATTATTTATATATATATAATCAAATGGTTTTTTCTTTATATGTCTTTAATGAACTGACATATTTATTAATAAACTAATAATTAATTCAATTTTTCACACTAGTCAATACATGTCATCTAAAATAAATGCTGAATTGGAATAATAAGTAAATATGAAACTTTAAATAATGTGTTTTTGATATTTTCAACATATATTATAGGATAATGGCACTGGTAGTTGACAATTTAAAGCTGTTTTAGTCTCTGATTCTTTTTATTATGATGTCTAGTAATATGAAAAAACAAAATTTATATATGAAAACAAAGTTTGTTCTATATTTGTCATGGAAAAAACAACAGTTTTTATTAGATCTTTTTTACATTATAAAAAAAAATTTAATCATGTACTGTTTACCCAGTAGTCGACCGGTGAGTTTTGCAATTGTTTATGGTGGTCCACAATTGGATTTTTCTTTGTCGAGAGCCCAACAAATGTGGCGAACGTGAAAGGATAAGTGAGCTCAATAATAGGCATTTTATAGAAAATGCACCTGAAACATGGAATTCTTATGTTCTAAAGATCTGACAATGTCCATTATGTGGTGGACTACCAGAAGGGATGTTGGGCAATAATTTTTCCCATCACTGTGAGTGAGATGTCCTGTTGTTCTTAAATGTCATTGAGAATGGGGTTGTCTTATGATGCTTTGTGTGAAGATGGCTTGATGAACTAATTATGCATAGATTTCGGCTTATGGGGTCAACTACTGGAAGCAGTTGGCAATAAGAGCCTCCACTGTATATAAAAATCATTTTTCTGATATCTGTCAATGTAAAACAGCAGAATGTTTAATTTTGAACATAAGTATAGCAATATTATTAAAATTAATTTAATAATTATAACTTTAGTTCAATATTATTTTAGATGACATGTATTTGTATGCATGAAAATATTGAAAAATTATTAGTTTATTAATGAATATGTCAGTTTATTAATTAAAACTATATGAAACTAGCTGTTACCCGCGACTTCGCCCACAGTGGTTTTGCAAGCAAACCCCACTTATATTCAGTAGTTCAACAATCATAGTAATTGTTATATAACACCTACCGCTGAAAATAATGATAATTGCCGAAAATCAAACTAACTATTTTCAATTTGATCAATCGTTCTATAATCGAACCAATATGCAATAACAAATTTGAATTTAAAACAGTTCGTTGGTTAAAAAATCAAAATAGATAAAAATGTTTATAACAATGTCTGAAATGTTATCAATTTAATACACCTAAGTACTCAATGAAGACTAAACGTAGTTGAAAGCAAAAAAGCTCATCTAAAATAGTACAGTAGAAACCGTTCTTCCAGTTAAGCCTTAATCATCTCCCTCTCCCCCGCGGGGAATTTCAAAAAATTCCTTCTTAGTGTGCATTCCCATGGTCTACCCAACTAAAACGAAAATAAAAACAAAAAATTGCATCTAAAATAGTACAGTAGAAGTCGTTCTTCTGGTTAAGCCTTAATGCTCTCCCTCTCCCCGCACGGGAGAATTTCGAAAAATCCCTTCTTAGTGTGCGTTTCATGACGTACCCTAACTCTGTACCAAATTTCACCTCTAGGTTCAGTGGTTTGCTCTGGGCGATGATGAATCAGTCAGTTAGGACAAGCAATTTTATATATTTAGATAAGCATATCCATTTTTTATTGTTATTTTAGTCTATTAATTGTCTTAATGTGATTTTAATCATTAAGAATATCTATTGATTATACTAGGTGGAAACATGAAGTTCCTTTATATGTAAACAAACATCACAAAATCTGATAAATTTGTAAAGCCAAACATTCGGCTACTTTAACATGAATGTATTTAATTAATTAATATAATTGTGGAAATTGTTTGGAAACAATTTAGTGGTTATTTGGCTTAAGTTCCTTTATTAAGTTATTTGAATAAGACATTCCTCTTATTAAAATCTGAATAAAATGTTAAATTTGTTAAAATGCAATTGTGCAAATTGATTGACAACAACAGACATTCAAGGTCAAATTTACAATACGTTAACATAGTAAACTTGCTTCCTGGTTGCTATAGCTTACTGCTCTTGTACTCTATTGGATTTTAGACTTTGAGGGTGGAATTTTTCTTACCATGGGGATTTCCATTGTTGACAGCTTCCTTGTTGAAGCATATAGGGTAGTGAATGAAGTGAAAAGATATGCTGCAGAGAATCCTAAATGTAGATTAGGTACAAGAGATCATGTTCGCTTTATAACTGAACAGATAACAAAGGTGATTAACCGAGTTGAAAATGTGCAGAAAAATAATTGTTTACCTGATAGTCTTGGCAAAGACTTAGTAATAGATAACTAAAGAGGATAGCTCCTAGAAAGCTTTTACTAGAAACTACACTAGATGCCATTTTAAGGAGCAAGAGAATGTTAGTACTAGAGATGAACTCCTAAAAGATATCCATATCACGAGTGAAACATCATTAGCTACAATTTTAAAAGTATGGGAAGATATTGATAAATTAAGAGCAGTAAAGCCTCCTGTTTCTTTGGGGCAAGAAGGGTCTGTAATTATAAGTTGCAGTGACGCTTTAAAGAAGAAAAAAATGCAAACACAGCAGGATGTAAAAGCTGTAACACCGACTTATACACTTCTTGTATATAGCAGTGATAAATTGAGCATCTCTGAACAGATGAAATCTCTGCTGACAGGCAGTGTGAAGCCTCTTGATCTTAGTTTGAGGGTCAAGCACCTTAGGAAACTAAACAATGGAAGGATAACTGTTTACTGTTGTGCAAGAGATGATATGGAGATTCTTCAAGATGAGATTACTAAGGTTCAAGGTTTTTTAACCTTGAACCTTAGCAATCTCTTAGTAATCCAGAAATGCTAAGGCACAATAACCACTCCTAAAGATAGCTAGTGTTCCTGACTCAGTTGAAAAAGAGGAGCTTTTTGGGCTATATTTTCGATCAAAACCTCCTAGTGAGTAAAGATCATAAGAGACAGAGTTTTCATGACAACGTAAGAGTATTATACTCAATTAAGCAAAAACAAAGCACAAAGCAATTTGTGGGTGATTGAGGCATCACCAGAGATTAGGAATATCATGATAAAAGAAGGAGCATTGAATATCCAATGGGCCAGATGTGGTATATATGACTACGTGCCAATAAAACTGTTTTAAATATCTAGGCTTTAATTATTTTGTGAAAGATTGTAAAGAGGCAAAATATGTGTGCAGTCACTGCACAGGGAAACACCTCTTTAGGGCAGTGTTCTTTTACCAGCGACCCCTCTCGTGTAAGGCTTTGCGACCTCCAGGGGGGCCGCAAAGCCTTACACGAGGGGTTGCGGGTAAAAGAAAAAGACAAGTGTTTGTAGGTGCTACACTACAATAAAAAAAAAACTACAATTTCAGTGAGAAGGCTGTACCTGTTTATTTTACAGTACAATTGGTTTTTCGATCGATATTTAGGTCTCAACAGAAAGAAAGTTTTTAAAATCACTGATATAGTTTTAATATGGCCCTGGGGGTTGCCAGAAGTTTTTAACTTGTAAAGGGGTCACATATTCAAGAAGGTTGAAAAACACTGCTTTAGGGACTGGACTTTTAAAAAAGAGAAAGCCAAATGCATCAACTGTTCAAGAGAAAAATTAGAAGTGCAAAATCATAACATGATGGACAAGAACTGTTCTTTGTACATTCACGTAAAATCAAGTGTTGCTGGAAAGTTCGACTGTGCACCATAAATGCTTTGTGTTCACAACTTAAGGTGATGGATTCTTCTCTTTTATTGGACTGCACCTTGGAGAATAATTATCTACAATGCAATGTTTTCATCTCGCGAGCTCGCAAACAGTATTGTAAAGGTGTGAATTTCTGTTCTCACTTTGACAGCAGCAAATGGTTACCAATGATGTGACTTGAATCTTTTCCTATAATCTGCAAGTAGCTGATTACAATTGTAAATATTTTTATTTATTTGTTTGTTTTCTCTGTGTTTTTTTGGGATTTTCATTTTGTTTTCCTTCAATGTATTTAAGTGTAAATTCTTTTGTAATGAGAAAAATATTTCTGTGTAAACCGGCTGTGCTTTGCAGTACCAGTCTTGTACCATTGTTAATGTACAATAAACAGATGAATGAATGTGCAAATTGATTATTAGCCATTCCTGTTTCTTCTGTTTAAAAAATTTATATTTTGCCATAATTATTAATGTCATCATGATATATAGATAACCTTTGATATAGCCTAGGTGGTCAATTAGTTCCTAAAGTATACTGCATATATGAAAACTATACATATTGAAGTTAATCGTTGGGAAATAAACTCATGAATTAGTTCATTAAGAATTTGTCTGAAATATTTATTTTTATATTTATGTTTTATGGTTGGAATGGAAACATGCTAAAATTAACAAATCAAATATAAAAATGTCTGAACAATTATTAATTAAAGATTTTAGTTAAAGTACAAAGTAGCAGCATACAAAAATGAAAAATATCTTGGAAAATACTAGTAATATAAAAGATTGATTATAGAATTTAAACTAACACTAAAGAAGGAAGAAAACAAAAAAGTAAATTTTTAAAATCAAGAAAAACATTTATTAATTGTCACCTGTGTAGTTGCTGTTTATAGACTTTTCTATACAAGATGAAGATTTTTAAAAATATTTACAGAAATGACTAAATATGAAAATAGAAATTAAACTCTCCAAATTAGAGCACTGTCCTACTAAGAAAACTAAGGTTCACTTTCTTCTACTAACTAATAGGAGTAAAAGTGGAGAGAAGAGATTGTTCTGTTTCATGTGCTCAACAAAGTCATTATTTTGAATGTTGAATTTTTCTCAAAACAGACAAAATCTTGCACTGATTAAAATTGCTTATAACAAGGGTTATCTGTATACTATTTTTTCAGTATATTTTTTAAACAGATATTGAAAAACATTAAATAAAATAAGTTTTATTTAAAATATTCAAGTATTCCTTTCATTGAATTTTTTCATTATATAATGTAATATCCAACACTTAATATACTAACTAAAAATAATAATAGCAAATGTTTTTGGTAATTTTTTAAATTGTCACCTTCAAGTTAAAAACAGTTGAACATCTAAATGAAAATTCAAATGTCACTTTAAAAATGCATGGAAAAATTATTTCATTGGTTGAAAAAACATCAATGTTAATAACGATGAAGCTAAATGTGAATTTTTGGGGCTCTGGTTAACTCAGTCACAGATATGATGGCTGTTTGATCAAGGAAAAAAAATCTGATTAAAATTTATCAGGATTCCTTACAGCTGTTAGGATAATAAACTGTGTGTCCTAACTTGTATTTGAAACTATTCAAAATTTTAGGAGTGGCATTTTGACTATGGGCAAGACAATGGAGTTAGACAATTAAGTAAAATTACATTTATTTACAAGAAAATAACATAAATCTTTAGAATTAAACAAATGAAATTTATACAATAAATCTTAACAAATAAAGTGAATAAACAGTAAAAATTTAATCCTATGGAATACATATATCCCAATTCTTAGTATCAATGCAACTCATTCTATTACTATTGTCTAAACTATTGTTATTACCGAGATCAAAACAACAAGACTATCATATTTAACTATTGAATCCCCTTTTTATATCTGAGAAAGAGTTTACATTATTTAATATTACCTCTAAATCTTTTTCAAATCCTTCCTTTTTTCATCTTGAGAGAAATTCTTTTGTTTGTGTCAACTTTGGGTGGGAAATTTTCTGTAAGATGGCAGAAAACACTATGGGGTGAAGGTTTCAACTGAATTTTCACATCCTATTCTATCATGGTTGACCGTATTTATTTCATTTCAATCATCAATCATCAGGGACAAATTTGGGTCACATGAAGAGAGAAACAACAAGGATCTTTCTTGTTGAATTGATATCAAAGTTAATATCTCTCCTTGTAAGTGACAGGAACTTCCCTCAAAAATGAAAGAAAGTCTTGTTGTGACTCATGACTTAAACAAAAAATGATCTTTTCATGAAATTATTAATTGTTACATTAATTTAGACACCTCAAAACAATTATGGTCCTCTGGATCTCATAAATATTTTTTAAGTAATAAGATTTAATTTATAGTTGTACTTCAAAAATAGACCTCCATGCTTTGGAGAATATTTCAGCATCTCTGTAATTTATGGCAGTGTTCTGAAAATTAGCTTTGTATATTTTGAATGTCTCTAGATATTTCAGATTGGTCCAGTTTCTACTAGGGTGTATAAAACTTGTTTTATTGAGAAGTACTTTTATATTGTTTTTGGATGCAAATGTTAATGCCGTGGTGAAAAGGCTCTTTTGGATACAATACAGTAACAGTGCTTCTTGATATGCTTGTAAAGGACTTAATTAAATCCAGTATTTACTTGTTATGTAGTTATTATTTCATTTCAAACATCAAATAAACTTGTACCTTTATTTATTTTTTCATATTTCATTTTTACTGTTCCAGTGGGCACTAAGATGGTTTTTTCCAGGTCCACATTAGAGGTAGTTGGATGATGAGGAATGGGGTCTGACATATGTGGGACAGATTATCCACAAAAATTCATGGGTTACCTGCCCAGATTTGATTGTGATAGGCTAATGTCTTAAGTACCTCAAACATCAGTGTCTATTTGCTTATTTTAACAACCGTCAGTACAATCAATTTAAAGCTTTTTAAAAGAAGGAAAATTGACTAATTCACAAAACATAAAAGAAACTTTGAGATTTTTTTTTATGTAGACTCTTGTTTGTGGAGTTGAAATTTGCTTCTTAATTTCTAAATGGTTTTATTAGAAATCATATTTTGCTATATTTAACACATTAATAGTAATGGTACTTGTAACTGATTTTATGCTAAAAATTTAATGATTTAATTCTGGTTCTTGTTTGTATCATGAATTTACATCTAACAAGTCAAAAACTATTTAGTTAGTTAATAAATAATGCATTTTGAAAGCAAATTGTTTTTAATTTTAAAAAAAATTTTCTGGATGATTATATTTAATTATGTAAAATATATTTTATTAAATTCAAATTATTTTGAAAAAAAGAAATGTCTTTATATTATAAGTAAATAACTATTAGAAATGATCCATCTATAAACATGGATTATTTGTAATCTGAAAATGTTAAATGAGAAAATTTATTTGTTCTGATTGAAGTACCATAGTTAGGCTGCAGTTTTCAAATTGCATACCTATAGATTCCCACTGTCTTAATCTTGAGAATGGAGTTAGATGAAAATTGAGACCAGATATGAAAAGCTTAGGATCAGAGGCACCGATTAACTACATACAAACTTCTGGTCTGGATTAGAAATGATGTAATTTCTTAAATTAAAATATGATTAAAAATTGCAGCTTGGCATTGTGATGATGTCACAATAATTATCAATTAATTTTTATAGATTTTGTAGTATTATTTAGTGTTACAAGTTAAATTGCCAGTAGTCAAATTATTACCAGTAAGAAAATTTTCTTGTTATTTTTTTGATTTAAAAATATTTAATAAGCAGTGAAAATATTTATTCATCTTGTAAACCTCAAAAAGACAGTTATAAAATCTATTTTTATTTAAAGATGTATTTTGTATAATAGTTGTCTTCAACAACAATGAAATTTTAGAAATTCATAAGTTATATTGATCTGTTTTAGGATCTGAGATAGCAAGAGAGTTTTATTTATAAATATTTACTTATTTAGTAAACAGTTAGTTTCAGGATTAATTTGTTTTATCTCAAGTATTATGTTAGCCAATACAATCAGACTAGATATTAAGAAGTATTTAGTCTGATTGTATTGGCTAGCCAAAAATGACTTTCAAATAATTTACAGTCTAATAAATTTAGTAAGCCTAATAAATTTAGGCTTACTAATAATAAGCCTTTCAAATAATATAGCCTAATAAATTTAGTAAGTCTAATAAATTTAGGCTTACTAATAGTAAGCCTTTCAAATAATATAGCCTAATAAATTTAGAAGATTTGATAAAGATTGTTATTTGCTTCTTTAATCTTAATTATGACAAATCAATCAGAATATATATACAATGATATACAATATATACTTTACAATATATATACATCCTTTGTAGAATTTCGTTGGATGGCAATTTTATGAAAATTAAAATTGTTATTCGACAAAATTCTATAATTGAAACTTTTGCAAAGATTTGTCAGGGGGAAGCTACGAAAATCTACATTTATCAGTGCATTTTCCTTAGTAGATATAAAGGCTCAAAATCCCCGAGTGGTAAGGATGGAAAGAAAAACGAAGATGTCTGTAAGATCTGCCAGTTCCAATTTTAACTTTGTAATTTTAATTGGATATTTTTCTGTTTTTAAAGAAATGTTTTAAAACTTGATGGCCAAGCAGCCTAAAAGCACCAATTGTTTGTGTTCTGGAACACAAGAAGTGAATAAATGGTGGTTACCAATTTCGGACAGACTGCCTTCAAATTAATTTTCATATATACATCCCATTGAACTGTATATTGTGATTTTAACTTTTGTATTAAAAAATAAATGTAAGTATATTTTGTATAATACATAATGTAATTGTTTTTTTTCCATGTTTATAATTTTTATTACGTGTTTTATAGTTTGTTAATATTTTATTGGAGATTTTTTTTCTCTTGTTATCAGGGGTGGAATCCAATTTTCTCCGTTTCCGAATGTAGTAAATAAATAAATTAATGAGCAATTATTTATTGTGACATCATCACAATGCTAAGCTGCAATTTTCAATTTATTTAATTTAAAATATATGCTCTCCACCTCAAATTACAGTAGAATCTTGTTTTAACAGATTGCGGAACAGCGGATTTCTCGGAATAACCTATTTTTTCCTAGGTCTCACCAAATCAATGTAATTTTTCCTCCTTTTAATGGATTCATTACTCAGAATAACATTTTTTTACCCCAAATCTATTGTGAACTTTGTTTTTTCAACGTTAAGTTAATATTTGGGATATCTGTTTCCGGAAATTTATAGAGTTTGATGATGCACTTGTCACATTTGGGATATGTACAATTGAAGAATTATATGAAGAGAATCAGCTGGGTGATATGCTTAAGGATGAGTCACCTAACGAGCCTACTAGGCCAAGTATAGTGCTGAAATTTAGTGAGGCCATAGAGTATTTCCAAGTCGTAAAGACCTTCCTGATGAGTTTCAGCATAAATGAACAGGCTGCACTGTGCATGCTATTGCTAATATCAAGCAGTGTTGTATTCAATAGACAGAAAAGCAGCATTGAAAGAAACCAAGATGGATGAATTTTTTAACAGATTGTGAAGTCAAAGCAAAATGCTAATGAGTGTATGTAATTTGCCTCTTTTTGTGTTTACAGTATGTACAGTTTTAGTCAGCTTTGTTGTTCACAAGTTTGGCATAATATAGTCATGTACACGTATATTTTGCTGTCTGTTACAAATATGTATGTTTATATAAGATAAAGAATGTAGATCTCAAGAGACTGAATAATTTCAAATACTGGTATTTCTTATATATAGGAATTAAAAAATGGAAATTTTTTTCAAATAACAGATATTTTCCTGGATGTGCAGGAAATCTATTTGAAAATAACTTTCTCCCATCAGATGATTCAGATTGGTGAATCATATTTATAATATAATAATTCCTTTCCTTTTGTAAAATGTAATTTAAATAGGGTTCAGATTATTTGGATGCATTTTATACTAGTATATTTTTGTATAGTGTAGATAAATGTATACAAACTTTAATATTTTCTTAAAATCTTTTAATATTAGAATTTTTATTGTAAATATGATTTTTATATATTATATAAATGAACTTAAGTATCGTATATTCCGGCGCATAAGACAACTGGGCATATAAGACGACCCCCGACTTTTACAGTTAAAATATAGAGTTTGAGATATACTCGTCCTATAAGACGACTTCCGACTTTTGAAAAGATTTTCCTGCGTTAAAAAGTCATCTTATACGCCAGAATATATGGTATATTTTATGCAATTAGTGGTTGAAAGAATAAAAATCACTAAACATTGATAATTGCACCTAATCAACACTGGTATAAAGGATATATATATATATAAGGATAAAAACCACTAAACACTGATAGTTTGCACCTAATCAACAGTCTGACTGCATGTAATTTTCTGGATTTCTTCAGTGTTTCTAACAACTTGAATGGGGACTAGTTTTTCATATAGTTCTTCTGAGAGGCCTTGCTCATGTTGCATTGACTTATCCTATTAAATAAACTGCTATATTTAATAATAAAGTTTGTTTTTTTTTGTTTCAGTATTGGGAGTATTAAGAGATGCATCAAAGGTAATTTCATTTTATATAAAAATATATAAATAAAACATATAATTCATAAACAAATACAAATTTTTAGATATGTATAAAATATTTCAGTTAGAAATTGCTCGAGCCTACAGAACACTTGCAAAAAAGTATCATCCTGATAGGCATAAAACTGAAGTAAGAAGTTTGTGAATTTATGAATTATCTTAATATTTTATATTACTGATTTTTTAATTAAAAAATGTGTTAATTTATTAATGTAGGAAGCAAAAACAAAGGCATCAGAACAGTTTACTTTATTAGCAACAGCATATGAAGTAAGTATAAAGATGTTATTATATAGGCTATTATACTGTAATTAGATTAATTACTTTAAAATTTTCCATCTTATTGTTGTCTTCCAAATTATTGTTGTATGAAAAATCAAACTGTATTAAAAATGTTCAGATAAATGAAGAGGTTTTAAGTGATGATAAAGCTTTGCAATTTTCAAATAATATTCTATAAAGACTTGGAAACTGTTAACATTTATATTATTAATCTCTTGTATGATATTTATGGTTCAAAATATGCATATTATTATCTTAAAGATAGAATTATTTCATCAAGTATGCAGGGATGCAACACAAGTCAGGCCAGACTTTATAGAATGAGATTTTGCTGTAGATTTTTGTTAGCACAGTTCTACCTGAGCAAACCTCAATGTTATAAACTGACATGCTTTATTTTAAAGGTTAAATGTCATGTAGATACTGATAGAGATTGACCACACTTTACAGTATTATTAAACTAATTATATTTTAGATCCATATTTAATTTCAATAAGTTACAAGATAAATATGCTCCTTGTTGATTTGGAGCTCCTTGACCGTTTTGTGCAGGGACACCTCCGGATTGTGACGAATCTGGCATTGCACCTTGTTGATGTTCTCCAGAGTGGTTGCGGTGGTTGGACGATTGCTCTGAGGATGGTTCACAGTCCCTCCATTCTCCTTGAATTGTTTCATGATCCTGTAGACAGTTCTCTGTTGGAAACCAGTCACGCGAACAATGTCAGCTGTCTTCATTCCTAACTTGTGCAACTCGACAATGATGATACATTCATTTTCACGAGACATAACATTAGCACAACTAAAAATAAAAAAAATGATTAGAGCACTTTCTTGATCAAAATTGCACGTGTAATCCAATAAAATCATAAAAAGTAACAAAAAATGCAATGACAAATGCCAAAAACGCACAAAAATAAAATTGACAGAACTTTTCACATACCCTGTATTTTCTTGACATCTGACTTTTGCTGCATCCTATATAATATTGACTGTAAAATTATATTATACATTATTTAAATAATATAATGCATTTAAAAATTTTCAAATTTAATTAGGTTTTGAAAGATGATGACTCAAGGAAAGATTATGATTATATGCTGGAAAATCCAGGTATGCTTTGTTAAATTAATTCATTTAATTGTATTTTGAAAAATTTGATATTTTATTAAAAACTTATGAATATATTTTGATCATTATAGAGATATACTAAAGACCATAGGTTTCTAGAACAGTGCTTTTTGTAGACTTCTCAAACCATAGTTCTGGAAACCTAAAATTTTTTGTATAGAACAGAAATTGTCAGAAAACATTTTGCTATGCTCACACATATAACTAGGAAAATTACTTGTGTACAATTTGTGTGTATTTGTATGAAAATTTAATAAGGATATCTTTCAATAGCAAGCGCATTCTTTTGAGTTTAGGATTTTATTAACCAAGATTCAAAATCTGTCGAAAAAAGCAAATGGTTTGATGATAATGAATGAAAGTTAGAAAACTAGTTTACTGATGGCTGCATTTGAGAATTCTAGTCTAAATCTGGAGTGAACAATTTCAGATTTAAATAATGCATTAGAATTACCAAATTACAGGTTTAATAATTCCAAATTTCTTTTGATAAATTTTGAAAGTTATTGTTATAACTATATAAGTTTTCTGAATTATTAAAAAAAATTTTTTTATAGTACAGTTACTATATAGAATTATAAAACTATGATTGTTTTATTAAATCTTTAAAAATTCTCATTTCTATGAATACGTTAATACAAATTCTTTTCAATCCAATTAGGATCTGCTTCAGGTCATTAATGTTTAAAAGAATTAGAGTGCAAGACATTTGAATTTAAATATTTTAAAATTGTGGGAACTGTAAATTCTTATAACCAGTATACAGCAAAAATCACACCTAGGTGTTAACATCGACATTAAAACTAAAATAAAAATTAACACAAAAATTAATAAATATATTTTTAAATCATATGTGAGTTAATTGATTTCCTATTTATTAATGTTGCTGGAATCATCGAGAAAGGATTGCCAGGCATGCGAGATATTTGCCTCCTCCTTAAAATTGATGCATTCCCCTTTAGTTCGGCTTTAAAAATTTCCAGAGCCTCTAAAATTTTGATTTGATCCATGTGAAGAGAGCATCTAATGAGACTGACTTGCTGTAATTTAGCTTTTATGTCCATCTCAGAAGCATATATTGCTAGGTTAGTGGTCTGTTTTTTGTGTTATATATCATATCTATGCTCTGCCAGCCATTTTTTAAGGGAACTCTTTGTTGAACCAATGTATGTACACTAGATCTCTATGAAATCTGTCATCCATAACAGGTATACTGTATACCTCCTGTGCATTGTAGGTGTTAATGGTGTCCTTGCCATTTCTTAATAACTTATATACTGATGGGTTACACATGTATGTTATTGAACAATCTATGAGTAGCAATATCTTGGTATAGAGCCTTTAATTCCCAGTTGTAGTCAAGTAGTATATGCTTGCCTGTACGGTCCAAACCCTTATTAAGATTTGAAGTGATGTGATTATTCATTCTTTTAATATAATTCTTTGCTAAACCTTGTATCACTTTCCTAGGTAACCATGCACAGCTGCTATTTTCTCTATATGTTTTCTCCCTGCACTAACTATGCTTTTGCAGTGTGTGAAGAATCTTTTTGTAAGGGATCTAAATGCTGCTATTTTGTAACTATAAGGATTGTTTGAGGCAACCGGTACGATTAATGGTTGGTACCCTGGTTTATAGTAAATGTCTGTTTCAATCTGGCCATTTTTAATATAGATATTCAGATCTAGGAAGTGGGCGTGATTGTCATTGCATTGTTCTAAGTTAAGTGTAAGACCATACAGGTTATTATTCATGCATTGTATAAAGTTGTTGATATCTGGTTCAGCTCTCCAAATGATCAATATATCTCTTATATGTGATTATCTCCAGGAGGAACAATAGTAGTATATTCTATTCTATATTGCGTTTCACCAATTTGCATAGGTCACCTGATAGGGGGCTGCCCATAGTTACTTCCTGTTTCTGTAAGTAAATTTTGTTATTGTACTGAAAACATGAAGTGTAGCATAGTATGTGCACTAATTCTAAAATCTGTTGGTGGTGTACCAGGCTTTTAACTACCTGGAATAACCAATCCCGTAAGGCACAGAAGCAAGGCTCTAATTTAATAGATGGATATAATGATTAGTGATGTGCCGGATTGTTAAAAATGTATATCCATGGATACAGATATGGATCATTCGTGTCTAGATCCACGGATACGGATCTCAACTTTTGTACTCAGTCGGCGCCGGTGTGTGACCTTGGACCGATAGTTGACGCTTTGCGTTTGTAACGCAACGTGTTTTGACTTGCACTGCACGTGTTTTTGTTTATAGTTTAGTGTGACACGGAATAGCATAGATTACGTTTGTATTTTTGGAGAGTGTTGAGTTAAATTAAAATAAAAACAATGTCGACAAAACAGTTTATTAGTGTAATATGGAAATATTTTACGATAGTAAATGAATTTTGCATGATAAAATTTTTGCAATGTGAATGTGCCAAATATGTGATTTTAAGAAATGAAAAGAGATTTGAATTGAAGTTATTAGTATTTTATTGCTACCTATCTTTAAAATTTCATATAAGTAATGAAATTCATTAAGATAAAAGATCTGTTAAAGATCTGCTAAAAAGTAATGGATATGGATACGAATACGGATCTTTTTTTTCTTTCAGATATCCACGGATACAGATATCTGGCACATCACTAATAATGATACAAAATCTAAAGTTAATAAACTGAAATTTTTAAATGCCATATTAGTTGATTGTTTATAATAAAACTAACACAAAATACCACAAAAACCAGTAAAAAGAATTAAAATTATTTACTTATACAAACATCTTCAGCTGTTTGTAATGAACATCATCAGGTATTCTATAAGGAAAACAGAACAAGCAGTCAAACACATTTAAATCCAAACACTTGAATTCAAATCTTTGGATATAAATTACTGTGCGCCCAAATCACCATCATGTCACCAAATTTAAATCACCATGTGCTTTGAGTTTGACATAACTATTCTAGTACTAAAGTTTTTTTACAATATTTTGTTATCATACATTATAGTATAATACTATAACTATTATCTTGCTTGAAATGATAATATTGCATAAAAACATAAAAGTTTTAATTTTCAAATGAAATATTTACAATTTATAATGCTATTTACTGATAGATTCACTCTTATTTTACTTATTTATCTGGATCAAATTATTGTTTTAAAAAATATGTTTTTATAATTAAAGTATGTAAAATGATTTTTATTAAATTAACTAAATTATGTTTTATTTGTAGATGAAATCTATAGGCACTACTATAGGTATTATAGACGGAAAATGGCTCCAAAGGTTGATGTTAGAATTGTTATTGCTGCAACCATAGCTATTATTTCCATAATTCAGGTAAGTAGAAATATAGTAATCTAACATTAAAAACAGAAAAAAAAACAGTTACAAAAATAAGTTTGTTTATTTTTTTTTAATCTGAAGAGAAAATCATAACTATACAGATGAATTAATTAATATTGCTATGAATTGAATATATAATATATATTCTCTCTCTGTGTGTGTGTGTGTGTGTTAGTGATGGGACAATACCAAAATTTCTCCCGATTCTGATTCTGCCAAAAACTCCTGATTTTGATACGATTCCAATTCTTTTGAATTTTTTATGAAGTTTATCTTAGTTTAGAAAACTTAGCGATTTACATTACAAGCGTGGTACATTCATTACTTAATAAACATCAAGCTTAAGAATGGAAAATGATCAGTAAATTCAGAATCAATCTTTTGAAAGAAATGTGAAAATTCTCCATTTATGTGGCTACACATGCTTTTATTGTGTACTACAAAATGAATTTGTAATCTTATTTCGGGTAAAGTTAATATTGCAACACTATTCCCTGAAGAAATTACAGCTAATTCCCTTTTATTCAATTAACTATCCCAGCATGTCATGTAGGGTCAACATTTTTGAAACTGCTTTGTTGGCCGACATAATGACTGCAGGGAGGAGCAGGTAAATGAGAAGATGCATTTTTTTTTTTATGCTTCTCACAATGGGCATGTTTTGTGAATGATTTAACTTTATCATATTTAATACTAAATGAAGTTTGGCAAATGATGCAACGAGTCAAATGAATATCATCGTCATGAGTTAACCGATTTTTGAATTCATTCACTCAAGCCACAAATATCTAGATTGACTCATCTAGAAAAATCAATTTCTAAAACTCAAAACTGCATTAAACTTAGCATGAACAAGTATTTTTACTCAGAAATACATGAATTGCATTTGAAAATTTAACATATTACAGTATCATCTGTGAATTACAACAAAAATTTATAATTATAATGAGAAAGTTGTTTACATTCATTATAAGTAAACATACTAAATATTACAAATAATTTTACATAATATTTTTCAATTAAAATATAATTTTGTTTACATTGTTTAGTTTCAAATTAAAGCCAGCTGTCAGCAAAAATATTTAAGTGTAAGCAAAGTATAAAATACTTTGCTTACACTTAAATAATTAGTAAGCAAAGTATAAAATACTTTGCTTACACAAAAATATTTAAGCTTACTAATTATTGCTTACACAAAAATATTATTACTAATTATTACTTATTACTAATTATTGCTTACACAAAAATATTTAAGTGTAAGCAAAGTATAAAATACTTTGCTTACACTTAAATATTTTTGCTGACAGCTGGCCTTAATTTAAAACTAGATAGCCCGATAGTTCAATCAATGTTAACTTGCTTATAATTAAAAATTTTAAAAAGCAGGCAAATTAATGAAATTATTAAAGTATTAAATTAAATTTTAATTTGATTATCTTATGTGTGAAACAACACTAAAACAATTTCTATAGTTATATCACAAAAGAAAAAAAAGAGTTGCAATTAATTTAAAAATTGTAATTAATTACAGTTTTTTAAATAAAAATTATTAAAAATAATAATTAAAATCAAATTAATCAAAAATTAAAAGAATGTTTTTAAAAACCATTTAAAGTTATTTTGAAATTGTAAATCAAATTAATTTTAAAATTTACAATTTTTTGTGTTTGGCAGTGATTGAACATTTTGCCTTTAATATTTATATAGATATACTGAATACAGATTGCCAGTCAAGCCAGCCCAATGCCGGCCAGACGGTAATGCTAAAGTCATCCTATCTTCCCTAAAATGGGGACAGTTAGAACTGACTGAGTGCAATCTCTTGTTGCTCTGACTACACGAAAGAAAAGTCCACCATGACAGATGTCACCTTGTGTATGGGCCATTGCGTACTCTTCGCTTTATCAAGGCAAAAGTTTCCAATAAACTAATATTTAATTGTCAATGTTCTAATTTTAAAATTTTTAATTTTTGATTGAAACAATAATAAATTTTCTTATAAAATGTGGGAGAATCGTTTTTAAGAATCAGAATTCATGACAAGATTTTCTCAATTCCAATTCCAATACCTGGAAAATGTCTGATTTTTCTGTCTTAATTACATGGGTTGACTGAAAAGTAATGGACACATGCTTGTAGAACACGAACAAAAACAAATAACAAGATCGGGCAAAAAGTACATTAAAGTACAATTCTTAAGCTTCAAAATCATATATTTATTTTTCAACATAGTCACCGTTAAGGCTAACACATTTCTCCCAACGTGTAACAAGTTTTTTCATTCCGTCACTGAAAAATTCTTCTGACTTTTCTCGAATCCAGGACTTGACAGCTGCCTTCACCTCATCGTCTGAGGTGTAATGGTCACCCTTGAGGTCTCTCTTGAGTAGAGGAAAAAAATAAAAATCGCAAGTCATAAGATCAGGGGAATAAGGAGAGTGTTTAATTGGTTCTAACTTCAGGTTTCGCAGAGCCTCTCCAGTTGTGTGCGAGGTGTGTAGATGAGCATTGTCATGTTGCAAGATTATTGGTGCCATGCTGCCTCTAACATGACAAACTCAACGTTGGAGGTGTTTTAGAGTCTGTATGTACTGAGAAGAATTAAACATTGCAATGAGGGGCAACGGTAATTGTCTGTGGCAGTGATCAGATGTCCGCTGTGTGTTTCATCAACAATTATGGCTTTTCCAGGCTTGCAACTATGAAATTTTATTATCCATCGATTTACAGTAGACCTATCAACAGCGTCGTCATCATAAACAGCCTTTAAATGACAATGAATCTCAGTAGGAGTCACTTTTTCAGCAGTTAAAATTCGATAACAGCATGCTATTTAACTCGTGTTGACATAGCACTAGAACATGTCTCTATATTTCCACTTCTCAAAATATACTGAATGAATGCAACAACCTCAAACTGCACATATGTATAGAGGGGGAATGTTACTTCCATATGCCACCTGGCACGCTGCTGAAAATCATTTTGTCTACGCTCTACAAGCATGTGTGCATTACTTTCCAGCCTACCCTCATATGATTAATTGTACCATCACTAATATATTTATGTATGTGTGTGTGTGTAATCAGTAAAAGTATTGTTTGCTACTATGAGAAACCTGATTTTAAATCTGGATTAAATTCTCAAATTTTCATGGGTTTTAATTTTGATATATTAAGTTCCCACCTGTTACCAATCTGGCACCTCCATCGTGTTTGTTGTTAAATGAAGAATATAAAAAAGATCTCTCTTAGTGCATATAAGATAGAAAGATGATGATAATCTAATAGTATAATATCTTATATCTATACATTGCACTTTGAACAATTTTTACTGGTGCAACATGTGTTTCTATGACAACTACATTGGAATTCAGTTTTCTTAGAACAGTCTGTTAATTATGTTTTAGTTTATCATTATCATTTGGTAAAATCAGTGTATTTTTTTACAAAAACTTAATAGCGAACAAAAATAATAATTTTTTTTTAATATAAGAGAATTGATATTAAAAAATTATTTTATCTGAAATATAGAATTGACAAAATACTTTCAAATACTTTTATTTTGGTTGATATTTTTTCTCCACTAGTTAAATACACCAAATCCTGATTATCCATGCTAACTAGTGTATGAGTGTGCACAGAAAGCCAGAAAACACAGGCAATTCAAAATAGCTTTCTAAACTATAAAAAAAAAACTTTCAATACAAATATACTTTATTATGCATATGTAAAAAAACTATTCAGAGATTTAAATGAACTACATTATATATACAGCCTAAACTGTATAATGGAATGCAAATATGAGTTCCAAGTTTCATAAGCTGAAATGTATGTTTTTAGTTAATAAACATAAAATGTAGATTTTTTCTATTTTACACTTCTATGGATAATTCTTACATTTTTTTCAAATCTGCTATTTATGGTGTACAAGTGTGATTTATTTTTTCCACGTGTATTCTATCAAAATGCTGGATGTTGTTGTCATTTTACAGTAATTTAATATTTTGACAATGCATGAATAATTCACAAAACAGATAATTGGGAGTTTGATGTATATCAATTTGGCCAGATGGTGTACTGTACATCCAAATTCAAAGATTGATAAAATTGAGTATGTTGCTGCAGTTTCAAGAACTTTTGAATTTGAATTTTGTCAATTCAAATCCAAAAGATCATAAATGTAAGGAAAACATGCAATTGCCTATGTTCCTCACCTTTATGATCAATTTTAGAAAAGTACATTAATTGAGCATTTTCAAAAATTTCATTTTTCTAATGTATATAAATAGCAATAACTTAATTAAATTGAAACTACAACTGTGAAATTATAAGAAATGAAAATGGCACTTTTATTTAAATTACTTTTGTAATTGTAATTAAAGTTAAAGGGTATCTGTAAATTGAAAATTGTATTAAACTACAAAAAGTTAAAAGTTATAGGATGAAGTTTTATAGTCTATTGTATTGTAAACATAAAATTTTAAGATTTAATTTCTATAGTTATTAGTAGATATAAGTAAATAATATCAAGAATTTTCTTTTCAGTATTTAGCAGCAAAATCTCGTCACAAATCTGCAATTGATTATCTTCTTACTGTTCCTAAGTATAGATTAAAGGTATGATAAATTTTGATTTAAATAATTTAATATTATAATTTTAAAATAAAATCATTAAAATGATTTAATATATATATACAGTAGAGCATCAATTATCCGACTTGACTGGGGTTGGTCGGATAATTGAAAAGTCGGATAACCGAAAAGTATGAAAAAATCCATTATTAGTGTAGTATATTATTATATCCCATGTAATTAGTATATTAGTATATTGCTATTAACCTACTTCGCGTTGAATTTTCTTCGATGTTAAGCCTAACAAAAATTTTTTAAAATAATAATCGTCGCTATTGTATCGTTAAAAATTAGAAAATTAAGCCTCGTTTAAATACTGGCTCCCTTTCATGGTCGAATGAGTGTTGCCAGCTAAAACACGTAAAAATAATATTAAAGTAGCCAAGACATAGCCAAATATTGTAGCGCCACATCACTAGCGGACATTTGAAATTTGCCGACTAGCACGGTCGGTTAACCGAGGTGTTGGTTAATCGGGGGTCGGATAATCGAGGCTCTACTGTATTATTAATTGAATGTGGGTATTTATACATAAAGTGCAATACATACTGAAAATAAAACAAACTTTGTGCTGATAGTGTTTCACCAATTTTAAATTTATGAAGCAAGCATTTTATGAATTTTGTTTTTAATTTGGCTAATTGCTATTGTTGGTAAAATAAATATTTTCAGTCAGTAAAACTAAAAAGGTGGTAGGAATTCTAGCTCTGAAATTTATAGTAAACTAAAGAATATATATGTATTAAATTTTTCATTTCAAGTGTAGCAAAGTTATAATATTTTTATAAACATTTTAAGCATCAAACTGTTAGTAGAATATATCAATATATTTTATAGTATTTATATTAAACTTTCTGAAAGATACAAAATTTAATTTTTTAGATATTTTATGTTTGTGTTTAATGAAATATTAATATCTTAATTTTTTCAATTTTATATGTAGTCATAAAAATACAATGGTGCCTAATATTTAAAATTGAATTCATTCCAAGAGACCATTTAAACTCTGAATTGTTCAAAGTCCAACTCAATTTGTCTCATTAGAAATAATAGAAAGTGAATTAATCCATTCCCTGACCCTAAACTATTTTGATAACCTTATAACAGCAAATACATATAATTTAAGATAAAAATATCACAATTAAATGCTGTAATAATTTTAAACATGCCACCAGATCCACCAAATGTGTACTGCTTTCAAACCTAACATTCAAACTCTAAAGCATTTGAAGTATGAGATGCCAGCCACTATACTTGTACTAAATTAATAATTTATCAAACATTGTAATTAACAATTATATCTAGTAATTGTTAATTATTACTTATTTTAAAAAATGTTTATTATGTATGATTGTTTATTTGTGTGTGTGTGTGTACTTGTATATATATATATATATATATATAACACAAAAATTTGCTTAGAGTTTGAACTGTACATGCAATGAAAAATGCACTCAAAACAAACACAATCTGTTGTGCACCCAAGTTGTCTCTCTCTCTCTCTCTCACATTATGCTTGTATATTTTCAGTGCCTTTTTCACTTTATTTTTCATGTTTTTGTATATATATATATATTATGTGTTATTTGTTGATTTTTAACAAATTTCTTACAACAATTTTTCTTTATCAACAGCAGCACTCCACATATTTTGATTTTCTAAAGATATATATATATATATATATATGCACTAAACAATGTTTAAGTAAAAAAATATATTTTTTTATCATGAAATATATTCTGACAGTTGATAGAATTGNATATGCCTTGCCTTGCCTTATTATATGCCTTGATTAATCTTGCACCGCACGTTTACAACATCCCGTGACTCAGTGAACGTCGCACATTGACTCACGGGAAATTTGTTGAAAAAATGGCAGATACATTTAAAATTGAGGTTTACAAGCAAAGGTAAATAAACAAATTAAACTATTTTAAAGTATTTATAGAATGTTTAATAGGTAGAAATATAGATCTGTATGATGCGATTGGGACGGTAAGATTTACCCTCCGAATGAAGGGGTGGCGACCCACCCTCTGTGTGAACAATAAATGTCTAATGAACCATACCCCTATACACGACCCTTCCCGAGATATAGCCCTCTGAAAATTATTCTATGGGTCACGTGACCGTCTGTTTGCCACAATTTATTCTGCAAATGAGTGGGTCGGTGACCCCCTGAGTGTGCGCGAGCGCGCACTAATTTTTTTTCACGTGGTAGGTTCCCTTTTGACCACGGTGTCACATGACCGGAAATGACTTCGCGAGATATAAGCCCCTGAAAATTCTCCTAAGAGTCGCAAGTAGGGGTATGGTTCCTTTGACTTTATTGTTCGCATAGGGGGGCTACAGTTTGGGGGGTTGCCACCCCTTCATTTGGAGGGTAAATCTTACCATTGGGTCTTAAACAGAACTGTAGAGCATATTGATAGGAACGAAAAAGTCAAAGGAACTGTGCTTCATGGAAATTTGTAAAGAACGCCCACTAGGGCTGTCCCGGGCTACTAGTCCAATATATACCATTATATATCTTATGCCTCTGTCGAAACTGTTGAAGCATGGCACTTATTAATTTGCAGTTTAGAAGATACTGATTAAAATATGCAGCAAAATATGGAGAAAGTCAACTGACCCACAATGTAGTTAAAAGCTGGTACATGTGAAAAAACTATGCTGAGCATATAGTGAGACTGGCAGGGAATTATCTACTACCTCAAAATCAGATCATTAATAAGTAGAGAAATAATCTTCCCAACTTGATAATCTAAAGTAGAGGTCCCCAAAGTGGTCGATAAGAGTTCTCCAGGGGTCGATTAATACACGAGGGTCGAAAGGGGGTCGATTAATACCAAAGAAGATCAATTAAATTGTCTAGGAAAAAAATAAATATTCCAATAAAAATTCGAAATACGGATATGATCAACAACATTACTGAATACCCTAGTTATAACTTAAGTTGTCCTTAGTCTACGCCGCTTTAAGCATGTATTACTCTGTTTTCGCGCATCTGGCAACTGTACTAGTGTTGCAAACATGTTATGAACGCTGGTAGTTCATTATACACAGACATACGTTGCACTGTTACACTCTAGTAGGGTTGTCACTCTAAGTATCTTATATCTAAATGTAGATATTTTGTCTTTTACAGAGAAAATATCGTAATATATCGAAAATCATTAATATAGTGCAGAAGCGTTTGCAAGAAAAAAATGGCCTTTCAAGTAAAAATGGAGCATAACATTAAAAGTGCTCAGCAAGTAAACACAGAAATTAAAACACCTTAATTTGTTGCTGAGAAATATAATTGAAAAACTAACGTTTTCAACCTGATTAACAGGCCATCATCAGGTCTAAAAAACGAAAATGGAACAGATACGTTCCATGTATAGAATATAAATATTTAAATCAAAATTTAAAACTACTATTGATGAAAT